CTTAAATAAATTTAAGTAATAAGAAAAAAACTTTTCTTTTTGCCTACATGTTTGCCATTTTCAGTGTTCCTTGTTTTGTGTACATCTAGAGTGTCATCTGGTGTCATTTTCCATCAGCCTGATAGACTTCCTTTAACATTTCTTATAGTACTATAAAGAAAAATATAGACATAAATGACTACATAAATATTAAAAACCTTTTAGTGAAGGGTACCATAAACAAAATTTAAAAAAAATAAAAGGCTGGGAAGAAGTATTTATAACATATCAGGTAATAATAACAGCAGTAGATAATAATAATAATAATAACCACAGTTATTAAATGTGGACTGTGCTATACCAGGGACTATACTGAACACTTTATGATGTATTTTCTCATTCAGTCCTTACAACAGCCATTTGAAGGTATTGTACTATTATGACTCCCATCTTACAAACAAGGATATGAGACTAACAGATAAGTGGCTAAAGTCTCTAACAATAAGAGATCTAAAAATCAGTGAGAACATAATTTTAATTGGCAGTTCTTTGGAAAAATGTGAATGGCTTATAAACATAAATGTAATACTTAACTGCTGTCATCATCAGAAGAATGAAGTCATTTTTAAGCTCTTCAACTGTCAAGACTAAGAAGCAATGGTACTAATACTGGCAAGATATGAAAAGACACTCATACATTATTGGAAATATAAATTGGTATAGCTTTTCAGAGGGCCATTTAGCTTTAACTGTTGACATTTAAAATATCCATATCCTTTGACCAGATGACTGTCATCTGGAATTTCTTGTACAAGTTCCCAAAGAAAAACTTTCTTTCTCTCTCTCTCTCTCTCTCTGTGTGTGTGTGTGTGTGTGTGTGTGTGTAATACAGTACAGTTGGCGATAACCTGACCATCAATAGCCTAGTGTTAAAATGAATGATGGCTTAGCCATATAATGGAATAACCATTAGAAAAACATGAGACTGTGGAGACACAGGCAATTTGATAGGCTACTAATTGGAGACTTAAATTGGTACACCTTCTTGTAGGGGGAGTTTTCAATATAGGGATCAAAAGTCCTCAATCAGACTATATCCCTTTCCCCCTTGTGTATGCTATATAATGTGGTGGAAAGAAAAATATTATAGAAAAATATATGTATCAGAACCCAATTAGGTTTTTTTTTCTTTAAGGATATATGTATTTACATATTTATATGTGCCTAGAAGAAGGCTTAGAAAGATGAACACCAAATTATTAGCATTGATTATTCCTGGAAAGGAAGGATTTTGACTTTTTAAATCTCCCTATTGAATGTTATGATAGCTGTTGTGATAATTTGAATTTAAAAAATTTAAGATATATTAGTTATAATTGCCAAGAACACCCAGAGAAATTGACTAAAAAGAAGCACGAGTCTTTGTCCCCAAGGATTTCTAAACCAAATGGATCAAGGTTTTCCCCCGCCTTGGCTTACATCAAATTTTATTTTTAAAGGCAAGATGCTAGGTTCTATTTGTAGAGCTCAGTAGAATTTTAAAGAACTGAACTATTACGAACCTCATGTTTCACAATACAGGACCAAAGTAGCTAGTGAGTTCTAAGACATTTATAATCTTTTCAAACTGATATCAGAAATTAAGAGTGACATTTTATTTATTCATTTATTTACGTATTTATTTATTCATTCATTCATTCAGGTAAAGTAGTGAGTAGAGTATGTTAACATCCAAGAAAGTAAAATAGCCACTTCTGCAGCAGCTCATTAACGACTGGTAACACATAGAGGTCAGTGTTCTAGAGTTTTTAAAAAAAGTGTTGATACAGTTGAAGACCCCTCCACTAGAGATAAGATGGAGCACTGTATCCGTATTACCAATGACAGTCACCCAAGAAATGCAAACAGCCATATCACCCTCTCTCATGGGGTAGATCCGTCATACTTATGAAGACCAACTGCATTGTCACTGGAGACTTGGATCCAGCCATCCTCCTGCACGTGGTAGAGGTTAGCAGCACCTCCTGAGTAGGCATCTATGCAGGTGGCTTAATAGATGGCTTGGTAGCTCGCTTCATGGGCCAGATCATAGACCTGCTCCATTTCCAGGTTATAGGAATAGCCCTGATTCATAACCCCATAAGCATACACAGAGCCAGAACCTACAGAGAAGATGGCCCCCGAGATCTGATTCCCTTCAGTGTCCGTGTAGCAGAGGCCAGGGCCTCTCCTATCTCAGCCACAGATCATGTTGCCCATGGATAGCCCCCTGCCTTTGTACTGGTGCAATATGTTGGCAAGCAGCTGGAAGGCAGCTGCTACAGAGATGCATTCCTTATTTCAAAGCTCATACATTTGACATTGCTGAGCCAACAGCCATTCTCAGAAGCTACAATTTGCTGTGCCCCTAGCCATGATGGCTTCGGGTAGGGGTTGATCTGTGCCACCTTCTTTACCATCTGGAGGCAATGTAAGCACCCACCTGCTGCAACTATGACTGCATGCCAGAACTTGAAAACCAGGGTGGTGATTCCATGAAGCATTTTGATTCCCTGCTCATCTGAGACTCCCCAGCTGGGCATGGCCAGGATCAGTCCATCCCTGGGACTCCCTGGACCCAGATCCAGCAGATCTGCAAAAACTTTGAGTCCAGAAAACCTGCACTGGTTCACAAGTAGCAGCCTCTCCAACAAGCTGACCAGCACCATGTCTAGTGTGGGCAAAAGAAGGAATAACATTTTAAATTGCATGACTGCAAAAGAGTTTTTGTTGTAGGTTGTTGTATATTTGAAATTGTGGCCAGACTTATAATAATGAGATATGTGCTATAGTTTTGCAAAGGGAAGTAAGGATGCATGCTCACTCAAATGCTGACCATATGATGCATTGATTATAGAATGTTGTAGAAAGTCTGCTTTTATCACATGTTCTCATGTTTTAATACAGTCTAATAACAGAGTGTGCTGCCTCTCTGTGAAATATCTAGAAAATTTCTTTAGCTAAAAGGGTAGGATAGGTAAGTTACCAGGAAAAATTTTTATAAATTAGAATTTTAAAATTCACTGTTAGACAGGAGACAAAGAAGAAATCATTTATTCTTTCTAGTGGATGAATACTGTTCTATAATAGGCCATGAACAAAGTCACCTGAGAGTTTTCCAAGTAAACATTATGGTCTGAAAGATTTTTTTCATTTGTTAAAGAATCGTCCTGGTAAACTATTTGTTTTGGAATTTTTCCTCTGGAAAAATAGTTCGAAGCCAATCATGTATTTATTAGACATCGTCCAAGTTGAATATTTGGAACATTGGTTTTTATTCTGTGTTAAACACTTATAAATTTTGCTTTCTTATAATCAAACTCACCCAGAGCCATAGTAATATTTTTATATGAACAAAAGAAATCTCTATTTACAGATTTATTGAAAATAATTATTAGAGGGCAGACATGGTGTCTCACACCTATTATCCCAGCACTTTGGGAAGCCAAGGCAGGAAGATCACGAGACTGGCCTGGGCAACATGGCAAAACCCCGTCTCTACAAAAAATACAAAAATTGGCCGGGCACGGTGGCTTCAAGCCTGTAATCCCAGCACTTTGGGAGGCCGAGACGGGCAGATCACGAGGTCAGGAGATCAAGACCATCCTGGCTAACACAATGAAACCCCATCTCTACTAAAAAATACAAAAAAACTAGCCGGGTGTGGTGGCGGGCGCCTGTAGTCCCAGCTACTCGGGAGGCTGAGGCAGGAGAATGGCGTGAACCCGGGAGGCGGAGCCTGCAGTGAGCTGAGATCACGCCACTGCACTCCAGCCTGGGCGACAGAGCGAGACTCCGTCTCAAAAAAAAAAAAAAAATACAAAAATTAACTGGGCATGATGGCACGCAGCTGTAGTCCAACTACTCTGGAGGCTAAGGTGGCAGGATCACTTGAGCCCAGGAGGCAGAGAGGTTGCAGTGAGCCGAGATCTCACCACTGCACTCCAGCCCGGGTGACAGAGTGAGATTGTCTCAAGAAAAATAAAATGAAAAATAATCATTATTAGAAAAAATTAAACAATAATAAAATTTAAGCCCTATCATCTGTTATTTTCTATATGCATAGAGAAAAGTGAAAGAATATACATATTTGGGGAAAACACGTATAAATAGGAGCTATTACATAAAATCACACTTTACAAAGTTACTTCTGTATCTAAAGAAAATATTTTTACATGGCATTGTATTGCACTCTATAGTAAAAATGAAGATAATATAAACACTTTCATTGAGTACTAACTGGATGCCAGGAGTTGTTCTAAGTAACTTTCCTTGCAGTGTTTCATTTCATCTTAACAACCTATGCTGTAAGTACTCTTACTACATAGCTTACAAATGAGGATCTGAGTCTTAGAGGTTAAATAACTCACTCAAGGCCACAGAGCTGCCAAATAACAGAGCCAGGATTTGAATCTAGGTAATCTAGCTCCAGAATCTAAGCTCATAAATACTTTGCCTCTAGAGTAGGATTCAAGAGGGAAGACTTCATGGCTATGCAACGTGTGATGCTTACTTTATCTGAGAGATGCTTGGCAATATCTGCCCTACCGCCTATGAGAGCTGCTGAAATTCTGTTGTTATAGATTCATTGCTTTGAGTTTATGAGACTTTCTAGTTAAAATGCAGATATTCATTGAAAAGTAATACACATCTAAACAGATAATGACAGTGTCCAGGAACTCAGGGTCGATGACTATAGAGTAGTAAATGAGGAAGAAGGGATAGACTTGGAAACTCCATAGAAAAGGAAAGAAGCCAGCAATCAATTCACCTACAAAATCAGAGCATTTTTGCCAAAGGTTGAAAAGGGATAGCCAACAATTTTTTAATGACAGTACTGTAAACAAAAAATGTGGAGATTTTTTCATATAATTTCAGTGTGTACCATTTACCATCTCCTTTGAATCTAGGAAATACTACAGAGCCAATGCTATAGAGTGTTGATGCTTATATTAACAAAATGCCTTTCCTTTGGCGCACAGCAACCAGCAGGCCTTTTTACTGGAGAACGTCCCTTGTAATAATGCAAGCTGTGAAGAGGCGCGTCGAATGTTCAAAGTCTACTGGGAGCTGACAGACCTAAATCAAATTAAGGATGCCATGGTTGCCACCTTCTTTGACATTTACGAAGATGTGAGTTCAGACCTGCACTGTGTGTTTGAAGTTTAAATGCCATTCACCTTGTCACACTTTAGCTTCATTCCATTTGACCAGAAAATGTGGACAGCATAACAAAAGCAAATGAGTTAATTAAGGAAAGCCCCTTTTAATGTTAAATGGCAGATGAAACAAATCTATTGATAACATTGGCTGATCAGTACAGTCAAATATGAAAAACTCTCTTATCTCATTTTGTGCATATTTGGATTAAACCACTAAAGCATCATGCTCTAAGACTGACAAATCTGAATGTTCAACAGTAGAAAAAATTACAGCCAACAGATAACAGACCCTTGAATCTGCACGAAATCACAGAAGAATGAGTTTAGTGCTGACTTTTATCTTTGTGAACCAGAGTAGCATCTATTTCCACAGATTCTTGTGACTCTGACTTTGGTTGCCAGGTGACCTTGTGAAAGGCTTTCAAGGTTCTGGTTTTCCCCTTTTTAAAGTGAAATGCCAGTTTACCACTCTGAAAAACAATAAATTCTGAAAAAAGCAATGTTAAATTCCAGAATTAATGTATCACAGTGTATCCTAGTAAGATAATTTATTTTTAAAAGTTAAATGCCCAGTCCCCATTTACCCCATTTTTGATTTTATTTTGTTTTTTATAAGAGGCTTATTCTCAATTATATGAATTATTCAGGTCCTTGTTTTCCCCTGTTTCTCCTGCAATCAGATCTTGTGTTATTTCACTTTTCGTTAGCAGATTCCAACCATAAAAGTAATTGACAGAAATATCACGAGGGGACAAAGCAAGAGAATTGACTACAAATCCATTTTTAATTTCTGTACATCAAAAACATAATGAATACAATTTAAAATTGTTTTAAATCTGGGAAATAAATTTTATATGAAAGAGTCAAATAGTTAATATTCATAATTTAAAAGGGCTTATACAAACTGATATCATCAAAAATACTCTGCAAAAATAGAACATAGTTTACTACAAAAACCCAAGTTGCTGACATGTTTAAAAATATGATAAATGATCAACTTCATGAAAAGAATCAGAGGAATATCAGTTTAAATGAGCATACATTTTTTTCCCTTGGGCAAAATTGGCAAAGCTACCTTGTTTTTGAAAGCAAATGGTAAAATGCTGTGGTGGCAAGGGGAGATAAAAAGATACTCCCCCTGATGGTTGGAAAGGGTCTGGCAAGTCCACATCATGGGCCTTTGAAACTTCATGCAAATTTGACTGGAAGGAAACATACCAAAATGCTAATAATTATCTCCAGAGACTAAAATTACAGATGTTTTTTATTTTCTTTATATTTTACTATTGAAACTTGTGTGCATATACTACATATTTTAATAGCGATTTTATTTTAAACATGAGGATGAATAAATAAGACTACATTTACTTTATAAACAATGTGACATGCATTTTAATGGTCATTTTTTTTAGTTGGTCTAATAGTTTGTTCTTACCATTTTTGCTTTTTTGTTCCCTCTCCAGGGAATCTTGGACATTGTAGTGCTAAGTAAAGGATATACAAAGAATGATTTTGCCATCCATACACTAAAAAATAACTTTGAAGCAGATGCTTATTTTGTTAAAGTTATTGGTGAGTAAAGTACTAACATTTAATTTTGTTCTCTTTCTCTTCCCCTGTCTCCACGTATTCCAAAGATCAAGGACATACTCCGATGTACAACCCTCTAGATCAGATCAACCGGTACAACACCATACTGTCTATATACATAGATCCCATGCAGGTTTCACCAGCTGTCCCAACAATATTTTTTCTTTCTGGCCCAGGATTCTGTCCAGAAATATCTATTGCATTTAATTGTCCCATCTTTTCAGACTTCTTCAGTCTGGACCAGTTCCTCACTCTTTTCCTATTTTTCATGTCCTTATCAGTTTTAAAGAATCCAGGCTTTGCATTCTGTGAGATAGCACTGTTTCCTCATTACCCAACTTAGGTCATGAATTATTTGCAGAAATTCCGCTGCAAGGAGTTTCAGAATTGATGCTGTGCATTTCTCAGTGCATCATGTCAGGAAGCACATGTTGTTGACCTGTCCTACCACCATTACCTTAACCTTGCTCACCTGATCATGTTGATGATCACCAAGTTTCTCTACCCTAAACTCACTGTTTTCCCCTTTGTAATTCATTAGTGTTTTGGGGGGCAATATTCAGATATTACATTAATAGTATTTTCTTTATGAAACTTTTGCCTAGCACCCTTAGAGTACATTGACAACTGCCTGAATCAACCTTCTACATTTGTCAAATAGTGATTCTGTATTTCCATCAATTGACATTCTACTGTTCATCTTGTACCCTCCTTGTCCCAAGCCTGGAATTAGACATTTCTCCAAGAAATCAGACCTTTCTCTCTTTTAGTAGAGAACAGTATTTCAAAACCACATTCTGAAATGGTTGCCCAGTGTGCTCGTTGCTACTGGGTTGTCATTTCTTCCAGGTTCTCTCAGTGGACACAGCTAGGAGACTACAGGTATGGATTCACATATGCACACACAAATGTACACATTTGTAACTATGTTTACATCTATTTATATTTGTATATGCTAACTATATAACCATTAATTCATTGCAATAGTTTCATTTTTAATCCAAATGGAGCACTTCAGGGTTCCTTCTAATCTTGTCTATTTTTGTAGATATCTTTTCCAGCAGTGAGAAATGTGACTTCAGTTTTCCTCATTGTGTTACTTATTTGTTCATTGTAACCGATTCCCACCCATGCTAGTAGTATCCTCCACCTGAAGCCCATGTTTGTCATAAAGACCCTGTACATGTTTTGTTAAGTGCATGCCTAAGGATTTTATTTTCTTTAAGATGACTGTAGAGGATATTGTGTTTTTAAGTTTTGCTTCCACATATTTTAGTATATAGAAATGAAATTTATTTTTGTGTGTTGATCTTGTATACAGTGACCTTGCTCAACTCACTAACTGGTTCTAGGAGGGTTTTTTGAAGATTCCTTGGGATTTTCTACATAGACAACTTTGTCTTCTTCAAAGAGAGATAATTTTCTTTCTAATCCCTGTGACTTTTATTTTTCTTGTGCTGGCTATAATTTTCATTTACTATATAGAATAAGTGGTGAGAGTGGACATACTTCTTTTGTTTCCAGTCTTAAGAGGAAAACATTTTGTCTTTCACCATTAAGTGTTATATTAACTATAGAGTTTTTTGGTAGATGCTCTATTGTATCATATTAAAGAGGTTCTCCCTATTCCTAGTTTGCTGAGAGTTCTGTGCTGAACTGGTGTTTGAGAGGTGACTGTTTTTGCATTACTATTGTGATGCAAGAGAGCCATATTGATTTGTTTGTCAAAAAAAAGGCACATGTACTTTGTAGAAATATTTATTATAGTTTTGAAATAAGCATAAATAGCTGAACACAGAAAAGCAACAGAATAATGTATTAGTGTTGAGATTTCTTTTGAGAGATGAAACTGATATAACATGCATCCTTCCTTTCTAAACAGCAGATTGTCTTAATTGAACTAAGAGTCTCACCCATCTTCATTATTACTGCAGCCACAAAATACTGACACATGAGTCTAATCATTTCTATACTTTTTATTATCAATTTCCTCTCTTTTGCCATTTTCAAGAAAGTTTTATTTGGCTATTTTAAAGCTAAAAAAATTAAATACGCTGTTTATTTGGTATGCTGTTAATTTTGGAGTTTGAAGTACATTTTCTTATCTCTGTCCTTCTTCAACTGGACACCTCTAGATAAGAAGGCAAGAAATTCTTGAAACTTTCGCTAACACTAATTGTGTATGTAATTAGAATAACCCAGTTTGGTTAGTTGAAACAGAGAGATATTGGAGTAAGAGTTTGGAATTTGATTCCTTAGGGATAAACTACTAAATCCAATACAGTCATTTGACTGAGGCAGATTTTGGTTCCCAGGGGAACCAAACAGAAGTCACATAATTTCTAGGATGAAAACATCTCAAAAAAAATCAGTCCTCCCAGCACTTTGGGAGGCTGAGGCAGGCGGATCACTTGAAGTCAGGAGTTGAAGACCAGACCAGCCAACATGGTGAAATCACTGTCTCTACAAAAAATACGAAATTTAGTTGGGCGTGGTGACACGTGACTGTAGTCCTAGCTACTCAGGAATCTGAGGCTATAGCCTTGGAGGCGGAGGTTGCAGTAAGCCAAGATCGCACCACTGCACTCCAGCCTGGGATATAGAACAAGGCTCTGTCTCAAAACAAAAAAAAAAAAAAAAAAAAAGGACCAGGCACGGTGGCTCACGCCTGTAATCCCAGCACTTTGGGAGGCTGAGGCGGGCAGATCACGAGGTCAGGAGATCGAGACCATCCTGGCTAATGTGGTGAAACCCCATCTCTACTGAAAAAAAAAAATACAAAAATTAGCTGGGCGTGGTGGCACGCGCCTGTAGTCCCAGCCACTCGGGAGACTGAGGCAGGAGAATGGTGTGAACCCGGGAGGCGGAACTTGCAGTGAGCCAAGATGGTGCAACTGCACTCCAGCCTGGGCGACAGAGCGAGACTCCGTCTCAAAAAAAAAAAAAAAAAAAAGCTAAAATCACTTATTTTTACCTTTGCTCATGAGCATCATCCTTTTTGGTGAAAAGCAGCACACTTTTAGTCTTCATTTATTTTAATATCACATTTAATCTCTCCTTCCTCCATCCATTTCAGAATACTTGTGAAACACTCTGAGAATCTAGGCTTATTATTTATTATGCGTTCACATAGCATCTCTCTTACTCCTAGTATACTGTAATGATCTAAGTAACTTAAGAGCATCATCTGTCTTATTTGTCTTTGATTGCTGGGTGCCTAACACGGGGTCTACCAGTACATAGAGAGGCATTCCAAAATTTATGTCAAATAAATGTCCAGCTATATTTTTGAGTCATGGATTGCCTATCTTAATTAACAATGTTCCCTTCTTTTCTAGTATACCCTAGCCATTCACTTGATGCCTCTGACTCATCTGTGTCTCTAAAAAGCATTCTATCAAAATTGGTGACTCAATTCAAAGTCAGATTTCTACCTTGGCCTGTTTGCTGATTATTAGGGGACACAACTAGTCATTTCATTTCCTGAAAGATTGAAATGCTGCCTAGTTTAACTTCTCAAGTCTACCCATCTTTTGCAATTCTCTGTGACCCCAGAAACTCTAATGTACATAATTTTCAGAGCTTACACCAAAAATGCACAGAAAGGAAGTAACCACCGATGAGTAACAGTGAGTTTTCCTCTCATTATTTAATGGATCTGTAAAACTAACGTTTTGCTCAACCTAGAATAAGTGATTTGCTTCAAAATATGCATAAATTTAAATTAATAATTCTCTTTCAAAATATTTTCTTTCTGTTTAATGAGATAACTGTGATTTTTCCTTCACTTTCATTTGAATTTTGGCAGTGTGCTTAGTAAACTTTTTGAGACAGAGTCTGCGCTCTGTTGCCCAGGCTGGAGTGCAGTGGCGCAATCTCGGCTCACTGCCAGCTCCGCCTCCCCAGGTTAGACGATTCTCCATGCCTCAACTTCCCCAGTAGCTGGGATTACAGACATGTCTTGCTAATTTTTTGTATTTTTAGTAGGAGATGAGGTTTTGCCGTGATGGCCAGGCTGGAGCCAGTGTACTTTAAAAGACTATTTGCTCAAGTCTGAAGCTTAAAAACAAAACAACAACAACAAAAATAACATATATTTACTACTTAGTTCATCTGAATGTGGTATGTGCATGTGCATACCTGGAAAGATTTAAGATTAATTCTTTCTAGAACAGATGTTAGGCATTAAGTACTAAGGAAAATTTTAAGTGCAAGAGGTATTAATCTGTATATTGTTAAATCAAATTCTCCCTGTGCTCAGCAAGTTCTTTTATTCAAGCCTTGAAACTACTTTTATACTAAAAGTTCTGTTTTGCTCTCTTACAATAGAATGTGATTGAACTGTCTATACTTGTGACAGTTTGCTGACTAACATGAGGGCCTGTGTCCACTGCTTTCCATGCTCAAGTGTGCAAGTTCTTCCTAGCACAGAGTCCCCAATGAGTAGAATGGATGGGAATCAGGCATAGGGTTTTGTAACATTGATAAGATGTTCAGTTCCCAGTTGTAATAATATATGCTAAGAGAGTAGGCAGTTCTCAGGGTGAAACAAAGAAGGTCTGGCTTTTTTTATAGTGATCATTTAGAAATTATCCATGTGGAAAAATGTATGCATATAATTTAAGTCCCAAGTTCTTCCTTGGCATTTTTATTCATTTACGTTTTTTTAAATTACAAAAACAAGATCTTAGAGATAGAGAAAATCTCAAAGGCATCTTGTCAAGTCCTAAACCCTAATGCAACATCTTAGTCATCTTCACCTTGCCAGATGCTTTGTTCTAAAGGAAGTTCCGCCTCATGATGCAACACAGACTTCTTTTATGAATCAGTTTAGTTGTTAGAAAATTCAAGTCAAAATGTGCATATTTAGTTAGTTCCGTCCATTGATACTCATGTCACAATATATGGTAGGCCTTTATAGGTATCTATTTGAATTTTAAAAAATTGTTCCAATAAAATTACTCTAGTTTTTATTGTTAAAG